TCAGTTATGTCCGATTCTTGGGGACCCCATGGACTGCAGCACACCAGGCTTCCCTGTCTATCACCAACTTCTGGAGCTTACTCAAAATCATGTCCATTTAGTCGGTGATGACATCCAACCATCTCATCCTCTGTCCTCCCCTTCTCCTCCTGCCTTCCATCTTTCCCAGCATCAGGGTCTTTTTCAATGAGTCAGTTCTTCGCATAAGGTGGCCAAAGTACTGGAGTTTCAGTTTCAACTCAGTCCTTCCAATGAATATTCAGGACTGATTTCCTTTGGGATGGATTGGTTGGATCTCTTAGATGTCCAAGGAACTCTCAAGAGTCTTCTCCAACACCACAGTTCAAAAGCAGCAATTCTTTGGCACTCAGCTTTCTTTATAGTTCAACTCTTGCATCCATACATGACTACTGGAAAAACCAAAGCTTTGAATAGACTGACCTTTGTTGGCACAGTAATGTCTCTGATGTTTAATGTGCTGTCTAGGTTGGTCATAGCTTTTCTTGCAAGGAGCAAGTGTCTTTTAAAAATTTCATGGCTGCAGTCACCATATGCAGTGATTTTGGAGCTCCCCAAAATAAAGTCTTTCACTGTTTCCATTAGGGAAATCCCAATCTATTTGCCAAGAAGTGATGGGACAACATGCCATGATCTTAGTTTTCCGAATGTTGAGTTTAAGCCAACTTTTTCACTCTCCTCTTTCACTTTCATCAAGAAGCTCTTTAGTTCCTCTATGCTTTCTGCCATAAGGGTGGTGTCATTTGCTTATCTGAGGTTATTGATATTTCTCCCAGCAATCTTGANAGGTGAGTGATCACACCATCGTGGTTATCTGGGTCATGAAGATCTTTTTGGTATAGTTCTTCTGTGTATTCTTGCCACATCTTCTTAATATCTCTGCTTCTGTTAGGTCCATACCATTTCTGTCCTTAATTGTGCCCATCTTTGCATGAAATGTTCCCTACAGTGCAAAATCAGGAAGTGTGATGCCTCTAGATTTGTTCTTTTTTAGGATTTCTTTGGCTATTTAGGGTTTTAGGATAGGTTTCCCTAAAGGGTATCCTAAAAATGCCATTAGAAATTTGATAGGGATTGCACTGAGTCTGGAAATTCCTTTGGGTAGAATGGACATTTTCACAATATTAATTCTTCCAATCCAGGAACATGGAATATCTTTCCATTTATTTGTGTCTTCTTCTTTTCCTTCCCTTTTTATTTCTTATATCTTCTTTAGTCTCTTTCATCAATGTCTCATAGTTCTCAGTGTACAGGTCTTTTACCTCCTTGGTTCAGTTTATTCCTAAACATTTTGTTTATTTAATTATTTGGATGCTATTGTAAGTGAGATTGCTTTCTTTTTTGCTATAATCTTTTCTATTTCTGAAAATAAAATAATGGCCCTTTTTATTAATGATTTTAATAAACTGAGTCTTTCTTTTTTTTACTAGTCTAGCTAAAGATTTATCAATTTTGTTGATCCTTTTAAAGAATCAGCTTTTGGTTTTGTTGATTTCCTTTTTACATTTTTTTCTACATTTTTATTTCATTTATTTTGGCACTAATCTCTATTATTTCCTTCCTTCTGTTTGTGTTGGGTTTAGTTTGCTTTTCTTTTTTAGTATCTTGAGATACAAGGTTAGCTTATTGATTTGTGATCTTCCTTTTCTTAAAATATAGATGGTTACAGCTATAATTTTCCATCTAAGCACTGTGTTCATTGCATAAACTTTGGTATGTGGTGTTTTTGTTTTCATTCATCTCAAAATATTTCCTAATATCCTTTTTGATTTCATCTTTGACCTTTTAGTTATTTAGGAGTATGTTGTTTGTGTGCTAGTCACTCAGTCATGTCTGACTCTTTGAGACCCCATGGACCCATGAGACCCACCAGGCTCCTCTGTTCATGGGATTTTCCAGGCAAGAATACTGGAGTGGGTTGCCATTCCCCTCCAGGGGATCTTCCCAACCCAGGTCTCCTGCACTGCAGGCAGATTCTTTATTGTCCGAGCTACCAGAGAAGCGTAATATTCACATAATTGTGAATTCCTCAAATTTCCTTCTGTTAATGATTTCTCTGTGTGTGTGTGTGTGTGTTTGTTAATGATTTCTAATTTCATTCCACTGTGATCAGAGAATAAGCTTTTGTATGGTTTCAATTATTTTAATTTTTAAAGATTTATGTGATTGCCTAACATATGGTCTATACTTAAGAATGTTTTTTAGGGAGACTCCCCTGGTCCAATGGCTAAGAATACACCTTGCAATGCAGGGGCTGTGAGTTTGATTTCTGGTTGGGGAACTAAGATCCCACATGCCACACAGAAACTAAGCCTGCATGCCATGTGCTACAACTAAGACATGATGCAGCCAAATAAGTGCCCAGAGTGTTTCCTAGGCACTTGAGAAGAATGTATTCTGTAGCTGTTTTGTGGAATGTACTTATAGATGTCTACTGTGCGCTCAGTCACTCAGTTGTGTCTGACGCTTTGTGACCCCATGAACTATAGCCTGCCAAGCACCTCTGTCCATGGGATTTTCCAGGTAAGAATAGTGGATTGGGTTGCCATTTTCTTCTCCAGCGATAGATGTCTATTAGCTTAGCTATCTATTAACTTAGAAAGCTTAGATTGCTTTCTTGCTCTTTCAGATAGCTTGTTGTTAGTGTATAAAAATGCAATTGATTTTTATATATTGATTTTATATCTGCAACTTTACTAAATTCATTTATTAGTTCTAGCAGTTTTGGGGTGGCCTTCAGAGTTCTCTATATCATGTGATCTCTAAACAGATTTCATTCTGATGAAATTTTGATTGGATGCCTTTTATTTATTTTTTTTTTCTTGCCTAATTGATATGACTAAGACCTCCAGTCCTATGTTGAATAGAAATGGTGGTAGTGGGCATCCTTGTCTTACTCCTGATTCTAGGAGGAAAGGCTTTTAACTTTACACCATTGAGTATGATGTTAGCTGTGGGTTTATCACATACGGCCTTTGTTATGTTGAGGAACAATGCTTCCATACTTAATCTGTTGGTATGGAACAGATCCTTCCATACTTAATCATACTTAATACTATCATGAAAGGATGTTGAATTTTGTCAAAGGCTAAACGTACTTCTTTCCCTTAAGGTATGACCTAGAGGGAGCACATATCACTTTTGCTCACATCCCACTGGCCAGGATTAAGGGCTGCACATGCATTCCTTGGAGATATCATGGGTTCAGTTTCAGATTACTGCAATAAAGTAAATATAGCAAAATTTTTTAAAAAGCCAGTCATATGATTTTTTTTGGTTTCCCAGTGCATATAAAAGTAATGTTTACACTATACTATAATTTGTTAAGTGTGCAGTAGTATTATGTCTAAGAAAATAATGTACATACCTTAATTTAAAAAGTTTGTTGCTAAAAACGCTATCATCCGAGCCTTCCGCAAGTCGTAATCTTTATGCAATAGTAGTAGCATCAGAGATAACTGATCACAGATCACCACAGCAAAATTAAGAACGATGAAAGTTTAAAATATTATGAGAATTACCAAAATGTGACACAGAGACACAAAGTGAACAAATACTGTTGAAAAAAATGGCGCCTATAAACTTGCTTGATGCAGAATTACTACAAACCTTTAATGTGTAAACACACACACACACATAAACAAAGCAAAGCTCAATAAAGTGAGGTATGCTTGTACTTACCTGTAACAGTGGCTCAGAGAATGTAGTCTTTCTCATGGATGGGTTTATACCTTGTCAAATTTTGGTGACTCTATCCCTAGAAAAAGAAAACAGAATGGATTTGAGGACTCAACCAACAGTGTCTTCTATGACATACTGATAGGAAAATACATGAACAACCAGTAACAGTATTTGCCTCAGGAATAGGGTACTGGTGGCTGGTACAGGTGAGAAGAAAAGGTCCGTTTCAAAGCCCTTTAGAACTTTAATACATGTGAATATATTAACTAATTAAATATTTTTAAATGAAGTAATAAAAATAGCATTATCCTATCTACTTACTAAACCTCTGTATCTGATTTACTGACCAAAAGTTTTTTGCACCCTCACCCTCAGCCCCTCAGAGAGGGTTATAGATGTGGCATGAAGCTCAGGGCACATTAAATTGTATAGAATCAGTGTGGCTGGGGAAGCCCAACGGGCCTGCAAGGGTAGAGGAGGCCTGGAGAGGAATGCAAATTCAGACAGGCACTTGGGAGAGCTGCTCTGCCTGTCAGTGGATCCAGTTGGCACTGGGCCTTCCCTGTGCCCTTTCTGATTGTGCCTGTTTAGGGGGAGAGAAGATTAGCCTGCTGCCAGGCCCTTATCCTGGCACATATGGAACAGATCCTTCCATACTTAATCATACTTAATACTATCATGAAAGGATGTTGAATTTTGTCAAAGGCTAAACGTACTTCTTTCCCTTAAGGTATGACCTAGAGGGAGCACATATCACTTTTGCTCACATCCCACTGGCCAGGATTAAGGGCTGCACATGCATTCCTTGGAGATATCATGGGTTCAGTTTCAGATTACTGCAATAAAGTAAATATAGCAAAATTTTTTAAAAAGCCAGTCATATGATTTTTTTTTTGGTTTCCCAGTGCATATAAAAGTAATGTTTACACTATACTATAATTTGTTAAGTGTGCAGTAGTATTATGTCTAAGAAAATAATGTACATACCTTAATTTTAAAAGTTTGTTGCTAAAAACGCTATCATCCGAGCCTTCCGCAAGTCGTAATCTTTATGCAATAGTAGTAGCATCAGAGATAACTGATCACAGATCACCACAGCAAAATTAAGAACGATGAAAGTTTAAAATATTATGAGAATTACCAAAATGTGACACAGAGACACAAAGTGAACAAATACTGTTGAAAAAAATGGCGCCTATAAACTTGCTTGATGCAGAATTACTACAAACCTTTAATGTGTAAACACACACACACACATAAACAAAGCAAAGCTCAATAAAGTGAGGTATGCTTGTACTTACCTGTAACAGTGGCTCAGAGAATGTAGTCTTTCTCATGGATGGGTTTATACCTTGTCAAATTTTGGTGACTCTATCCCTAGAAAAAGAAAACAGAATGGATTTGAGGACTCAACCAACAGTGTCTTCTATGACATACTGATAGGAAAATACATGAACAACCAGTAACAGTATTTGCCTCAGGAATAGGGTACTGGTGGCTGGTACAGGTGAGAAGAAAAGGTCCGTTTCAAAGCCCTTTAGAACTTTAATACATGTGAATATATTAACTAATTAAATATTTTTAAATGAAGTAATAAAAATAGCATTATCCTATCTACTTACTAAACCTCTGTATCTGATTTACTGACCAAAAGTTTTTTGCACCCTCACCCTCAGCCCCTCAGAGAGGGTTATAGATGTGGCATGAAGCTCAGGGCACATTAAATTGTATAGAATCAGTGTGGCTGGGGAAGCCCAACGGGCCTGCAAGGGTAGAGGAGGCCTGGAGAGGAATGCAAATTCAGGCAGGCACTTGGGAGAGCTGCTCTGCCTGTCAGTGGATCCAGTTGGCACTGGGCCTTCCCTGTGCCCTTTCTGATTGTGCCTGTTTAGGGGGAGAGAAGATTAGCCTGCTGCCAGGCCCTTATCCTGGCACCGCCCACACTCAAGAGGAGAAGGCTGCCAGGGCCCTGGGGGCCGGAGGGGGTGGGGAGCTGGGCCTAGAGACACAGCCAGCTCCTGGGGTGGGCTGTGCGGCTTGCCCTTTCAAGCAGGAAGCCTTTGACAAGTCCGCCAGGCAGAGACCTCAGCTGATCTCTTCCCCAACATTCATGATTCAAAAGAACCTTGAATCAACTTCAGGCCTGTGTCAGGTGAGGGCTGGGGGGCCACCAGCAGTGAATCCCTTACCCTAGCGCACAGGGTCAGCCCCCTTCACTGGCCCCAGCTGGGCCGTGGGGCAGAGCACAGGACAGACACCTTCTCACCCCCAGGTGCACAGACAGTGAGTGTCCTGCTCCCTGAACTGACTCTCAGCACCCCTTGGGCTCCCCACAACCCAAGGAACTCTGTGTATACAGAGAAAACACAGCCAGCTCCACACATTGTCTCACATGCAACATGGGAAAACTGAAACAGTTAACATTTCTTTAAATATTCACATTCTATGTCTGACTCTTTGCAACCATAAGGACTGTCACATGTCAGACTTCCCTGTCCTTCACTACCTCCGGGATTTTGCTCAAAATCCCGGAGGCAGTGAAGGACTTTTCTGAGCAAAATATGGGAGGCAGTGAAGGACAGGGAAGCCTAGCATGCTGCAGTCCATGGGGTCGCAAAGAATCGGACATGACTTAGTGACTAAATAACAACAACAAATTCTCACGGTTAACAAATTGACCTTTTATAATTTTAATAAAGTAGATTGCCCTGAACATTTGAAGTTAAGTGTAATCAATGATACTCTTCCCAATTCTGATGATTCAGTCTCATAAATGTTTTAAACAACTTTAAAAATCAACCAATAAGACTATAATCATCACAAAACCAGATCTGCATACTCATACTCAAACTGGTTACAAATGCTAATATGGAGATCTAACTTTGTTTATTATCCCGAGTCAGCAGCCCTAGCAGCACACCAGAGACACTATGCACTCATTTGCCATGCATCACTGCCCTCTCCTGGGGCTCTCATGCAGCAGCTCCACTGGAGTCCCCTCAACAGAGCTCTGTACCCCAAAACTGTCCTGGACAGAGTGGCTGGACCAGGGGTGGGTCCTGGACTCTGAGTGAGGACCCCATAGACTGGTCAGGTATGCAAGGCAGACCAACCCGCAAAGCTAGCACGAAAGTTTTGTCCAAGAAGTGATGTAGAGGGTGACAGTTAACCAAGGTAATCAGCTTCTCACTCTTGGGGTACACAAATGTGTCTCTCTGAAAAAGGAAGAGGGCAAGGGCTGAAGACTCACAGAGAGCAGCAGGCAGAGCCCCCCCCCACCAAGGAAACTGGGGACCAGTTGGCCAGCAGTAGCTGGAGCAGGAGAAACAAAGGGAGACACCAGGGCCAGAGTATGAGTGACACTCTGGAAGCTGGTGACATGGGAACATCCAGGCCCATTCTTCTGAAGGACCTGGCTGAGCGGTGGGGCTGGCTGGTTTCTTCCTTCTGTATTCTCACACAAAGGGAATGGGCAGATGTTCTGAGTTGCGGTGATAACATGTGCTGTGGCCAAGTGCACGGGAAACAGAAGCTGATCCAGAGACCTATTTGCAGGAAGTAAGGGAAGCAGGACAGGGTGGAGGGAGAAATTGAACTCAAACTGAACTCTGGCTTCATCTGACCCCCATGGGGAGGCCAGAGTCAGGATCACTCATCACTTGTCCAGAAATGAGGTAAGAGGGTTTGGCGAGTTCTAGGTCTAAGAACTATGGGTGAGGCAGCTTCCTTTGAAGGAATTCCTTGAATTCCAGAAGCAATTCAACAGATCCCAACACTGGGTCCTGAAGGGCTGGCTGTGCAGCCACCCCTGAACTAGAAGTGACAGACTGGATCAACGAGTGTGAAGAAGGCCTGTGGTCAAAGCCGTGGTGACAGGGACCTGCTCAGATGTGGTTATGGGGACCAGGCTTGTTGAGCCTCTGCACAATGTTCAGTGACATGAACTTCTCAAGGCCTGGGGGGAGGGGAGCATGGAATCAAATCCTCTTTCTAGATTGGGGCTGGGGCTCATGAGAGAGGGCAAGTCTGGCGATAAACATGAAGTGTGGCCAGTGCATGGAAGGTATCTAAAGTCACATTAGCAACAGAGACCTCAGAGAGCCTGTGAAGATGGTGGAAGCAGGGAAGGGAAGAAACATTTACAGGGAAGAGAGATCCAGATACTCGGAGGAGGAGGTGCATGGTCCTGTCTGAGTGGGTAACTAGGAGAGGGGAGCCAGAAGAACTAGTGCTCCAGGAAGGAAGCAGCATCAGACCCGACCGAAAGCCGTTTTCTCCTGCCCCAACACACAGAGCAGTGGTTCCATAAAGTCAGTTCAGCTGGCTGCCCCTAGATGGCAGTGTGAGCACGTGGCAGCAGCGAGCATGCACTGCTCCCCAGGGACAGCCAGCTTCTCCCATGGAACCAGGGAAAAGTCCCCAGAGCTGTGAGGCAGCCGGCCAGGCAGAAGCGCTTGTGATGGGCACAGCATCCACCTCTGCTCTGCTCTGCTTCAGGCAGGTGGGGCAGGTGCCTCTTTCTCCCCTTCCCTGGGGTTCCTATCAAGGGTCCCTTGTGGCAGAGCCTGAGCATAGGGGTCCCAGGTCTCAGTGAATCCCCAAATCCATGTGATCATGAGTCTCCAGGACTGGGGTGGAAGGTTGAGACAGAATGGTCTGGACATAAAGCTAACACTTCGGGTTCTATGTCTTATGGGGTGAGTGACTCACTCTGGGCCTACCTTTCCACGTTGTTTTACAAATGCATAGCTTTGTGAAAGTCAGTTCACATGAGATTATTTCAGAAGGAATCATTCTTCACTGTCAAGTGATTTTCACATTTGCACACAGTCCACAGTTCCCCTAGTGGACAGCTTTCAGGGGCAAAGCTGGGGTTGACCTTGCTCTTAATCTCGCTGATTGGCACTCTCCCTCTGACGTCTTACTGGCAATATCTGGACCTTCCTGCTTTGGCAAAACTGTCTTCTCCCATTTGGAGAAATTACAGTAAGGTTGACTCACAGGCAGTCAAGGCTGGAAGAGCCCTGGGAGGTTACCTACTAAACAACTGTCCCCTTTCTCCCACCCTCAGTTTATAGGCTGGACAACTAAGGTGAGACAGGCAGGACTCCTTGTCACCATCATCTATGACAATCCTGGCCTCCATCATTAAAGTATGCTCCAGTGTGTTCCTACCACAAATCTCTAGTCTGGTAGGGATACTGTCTGAGGACAGAAGTCCCACAGCCGAGGTGGCAGTTGCATATAGGAGTAAGAAGCCCTTGGAAATTTACAAATTTTTTAAAACAGATATTTGGGTAGGCATTGGGTGACGGGCTAATAAACTACTTTCTTTTCTGTTTAACTTTCTCCATGGCTCCCTGATCTTTTCAAGAAAGGCAACCTTAATTCAAGACAGCTCAGAATGAAAGATGTTAGCGCCCGACTCACCCGAGTCCTGCCATACTTGACCCTGACTTCCTCACTCCAAGGGTCACTGATTCCTTCACTCCAGAGCAACATCCCCTCCCGTGGATACCTTCCTCTGTCTGACCGTAGCCTCGAGCCACCACCCCTGTCTTTTGTAGTCAGTGAGGGCCCTCCAGCTCCACTCCCATCTTCTCCTTTCTCTCCATCTACTGGCCCTTCCAGCTATCACTTCTCTCCCCCAGCACCCACAGCTCACGAACAACACTTCAGTGCTTTCTCTTCGATCATCTTCAACGCTCTGTACCATTGTTTTCTGTTGTGCCTTTCCAGCAAAACCCTCCAAACTTTGATCAACTCTCCTGTCTCTGCTCTCTACACCGGGACATACCCCAGTCGCTGAGGACGGATGAAGGCTGTCTCATTTGAGCTGTGACTCTGACTCTGGTTCACCACCCTCAAACCTTCCTGCCTGCCTTCCTCAAAAGCTTCTCTCATTTTCTGCTAAGTTTCTCTAAAAATCCCTGGATCCCACCAAACAGCCACTTTCTTTTAACAGGTGACCTATTTTTCCTGTTTTCAGAAGAAAAAAAAAAAAAAGGCTGCTTTCACTCAGGGACCCCCACTAAACCCACAAACATCTGCATCCCAGTCATCTATTCCCCCATCTTTTTGTCTCCATGGAGCCCCATCTGTCCTCTAGTTTTTGGTTGCCCACTTGTCCTGAATCCCAGTCCCTCCCACCTTCTCCAGCAAGCCTCCTCTCTTTTCCTTCAGACACTTCAATCTCTCTTCTACTGTCTTTCCTGCATCATTTAAACATCTTCAAATCTCTCTCTTCTTAAAAAATCCAAACAAACCTCTCCCTCAGCCTCTTACCCTCATCATCTTCCAGCTAACGATCTCACCCTGAACCTCATTTAGTCTCCAGTGCACTTTTGACTCAACTACTCCACTAACCGAGCTCTCTGAAGCTACCGAACCTGTGGTTACTCCTCAGCCTTGTCTTGCAGTCCTCCTTGCATCACTGGAACCTGGGGGCCACTCCTTCCTTCCTGAAACCCTCATTTCCCTCGACTTGTATACATACCACCCTTCTGGCTTTGCACCTGCCTTGCTGACTGCTCTTTCTCAGGTTAATTAATCCCTCTTCTTTTTCTCTTTCTGGTTGTTTCCATGTTCATTGGGATTCGGCCTCGGTTATTCTCCCTTCTCAACTCCCAGTCCCAGGGTAATTTCCTCTACTTTCACAGTTATTAATCACCATCTCTGTGCCACTCTCTCAAGAATCATTCTCCTTTTCTTTCTGTTAAACAGGCTCGGGACTTATTTTTTTAAATTACATTTCCCAGCCTCTCTTGGAGCTAAGGACTGCCATGTGACCAGACTTGGCCAATGAGTCATAAGCCGCAGGCAGTGGGGATTTCTGGGGAAAGGTTGCTTTCCTTAACACAGGCGCTGCTCCTTCATCCTTTCTGCTCTTCCTCCTGCATACGTGGAACGTAGGTGGGAAGCTGGAGTTGCAGCAGCCATTGTATGGCCACGGCTGACCCTGAGGATGCAAGCTTCCCAGTAAGGAGAGCCAGAGCAGACCGACAGGGCAGACCTGGGCCCTGAATGACCAGTCTTGCTCTGCTTACCTTCAAACTTGGCGTTATGTCAGAGTTTTCAATAGAGCAGCAAAGAGCAACAAACACCATTTAGTTAAAGCAGTGTGGTTGGGTTGATGTTATAGGAACCGAACACAAGTTCTGATTAATACAGCTCTCAAATATATAATGTTGCTTAGATGTCTCTCCTGAACTTCAAATAGCAATCTGGACATCTTTTCTCTATCCAGAGATCTCTCAAATGGAAGAGGTCCAAGTTGTGACCCCCTCACCAAACACACAGTCACTTGGATTCCTGGTCTCAGTAAATAGCATAACTGTCCATGCAGCCAGAATCCTATTAGTCACCATCCTATTAGTCACCTCTCAGTTCTACCTCCTAAATATATTTTGAATCTGTTCACCTCTTACCATTTCCTCATTATCAATTTTTTGAACCACTGTACAGGTTCCTTCTTACCTATTTTAATATTTTGCTCCCTCCAATCCTACTGCAGCCTTACAGATCTTCTAAAAGCACAAGTGTAATAATATTACTATTTTGCTTAAAACCTTTCAGTGACTGCTTAGGGCCTAAGGAATACCAGGCATATATATTCTGTAAAACTCTGCCAGGAATTACCCTGGTCCTGCACCCACCACCTCTTCTTTGGCAAAGATGTTGCTCTACTGACCACAGGGATGGACATGTTGACCTATACCTGGTGGAAGTAGGGAAACCTCTCTCCCTTGCCACAGTGATTGGCTCAAGAGTGGGCACATGACCAGAGTTTGGCCAGTTAGAGGCCTTCCTTGGGATTCCTAGAGTGTAGAGTTATTTGGAGTCACATCTCCAACATGGGGCAAGCTCTGTACACTAGGAGAGACAGAGAGAAAAGGGCTCCTGGTCTGTGTAGCCTGCATGATCAGCCCCTAGTATCCAGAATCGATCTGGTTTCAAGTTCTTCTTTTGATTTTGTGAATGACTTGAGTATCCTTCTAATAATTTTCCCTCCTTTGGCCTAAGCTAGTTTGGGTAGGGTTTTGTCACTCCCAACCAAAACATCCTGACTAAAGTGAGGATCCTTGGTCGTCTGGTCCTAGTAAGGCATCTTTACCAGAAAACAGAGTTTCTTCTAGCTTATAGGATGCTTTACAAACATTATTTCATTTGATTCTTACTATAAGCTTGTGAGGTGGGTTCTAATATCTTGACTTCACAAATAAGAAAAGTAGGGCTCAGAGACGTGAAATATTTTGCTCAAGATCGGGGCTGAAAATTAGGAACACTTGGACACCAAGTCCCTCTTATATTCAAGGTGTTTCCCTTTATCCCCCACCTCTTTGTCTTGTACACACACACACACAGAAGTGCTAGAGTGGAGCCCAGGGTGAGCATAAGCAGCACTGGGACAAGGACCAGACTGGGGGGGGGGGGGGGGGGGGGGGTGTGTGTTAAAGGAGGAAGTCAGAGGATGGTAACGCCAAGTTCCTCCATTTAAATTTTATAGTCACTAAATGTCCAGGAGAAGAAAATATTCTCAGCTTCTTTCTTTTACCCCTCCTTGTACTCTTTTATGTTCCCATAATCTGTACCTCAGGCTTGCAGTAGATGCAATAATTCAGTTATATTCTTGGCAATTACAGTTCTAGGGGCTAGCCCGGAAACTAAATCACTGTTTATAATACAGCCCTTTTATGAGTTGGGACTATCCATATCTCCATTCTTCTGCTTTAGGTTACGTGGTACTTTTTTTTCTTTCTTTCAGTTCTCTTGAGATGTAACTGACATATGGCTCTGTATAAGTTCAAAGTATATGGTAAAATGATTTGATCTGCAAATATTATAAAATGATTACCACAATAAGTTTAGCGAACAACCATCAACTCATACATTAAGAGATACAAAATAAAATTTTTTTCCTTGTGATGAGAACTCAGGATTTACTCTCTGAATGACTTTCAAATGTAACATACAGCAGTGTTAATTACATTCCTAGTACTTTATCTCACAACTAGAAGTTTGTACCTTTTGACAATCTTCATCCAATTCCCCCTCCTCCTCAGGCCCCACCTCTGGTAACCACAAATCTGATCTCTTTTTTCTGTGAGTTTGCTTTTGAAGTATATAATTGACCTACAACACTGTCAGTTCTTGGTGCACAACATAGTGATTTGATATTTCTGTACATTTCAAAATGATAACCACTGTGATTCCTTTCAGTTTTTAAAAAAGGAAAAGAAAATGGGCCTGCTCTGTTTTGAGTGTCCCTGATGCTCTCTGAAAGCCACAAAAAATTATTGTAAAATTGAGTCAGGTAAAGCTTGGTGGGTCTCAAAGGGCAGCTGGGAATGGCAGGCAAGTGTCACAGTAACTGTCAGTGAGGCCTGGTGGGGGAGGGGTGGCGGCCTTGCTGGCTTTGTGGGCACTTCCCTCACCCCCTTCATGCCCTGCAGCAGTGTGGCCAACTGTGCCAGGAAGCAGCTGTCTCTGAGGCTGCTCAGGCTGGCAGGACCTCTAACATCATCGGGTCCATGATTCACAAAGTTGACTTTACTCTCTCCTTGTTCTAGGCTCATGCCCTTCTTCATCATCCAAGGTTAAGCAGAAATCATCAGGTGTGGATGATCACCTTTCCACTCCCAACTTTCACTGGAAACATATTCTCTGCTTCCACATCCCCCTTAATAACGGTGGGGGCAGCCCTTTCCAGAGGGGACAGCACCATTCCTGCCCACATCCCATCTTCTTCTACCACTTCTTCCGAATCATCACTCCTGCCATCTCTCCTGCATCATTCCTATCACTCTGCAAGCCTGTTCTCGTCCTTTCCATATTTTAACCAAACCCTTTATATCCTAACAAAAATTAAAATTAGATATGGCTATAAGCACTGGAAAACAAAGGATGAAGTAGGCAGCCCAGAGTAGATAAAGCAGATCCCTAAACATCAGGAACCCCAAAACTTGTTGCCCTAACATCCTCAACACATGGCTTCCACTTCAGCATTGAATAAGCCTGCTTGAGCTGCAGCTACATCTTTACATACTCCACTGGGGAGGAGAAAACAATGGCTGAGGACAGCACACCACCTCCCTTTAAAGCTACTTATCCTGTGTTGCACATGGTCACCTCCATTTGCTTCCTGTTGGCTAGAACTGAGCCATGTGTTCATGCAGAGCCCTGAGGGAGTCCTAGAAACTTGCTTTTATTCAAGGAAGCTACGTGGCCAGCTAGAACTGGAAAGTCTATAATAAAGGAAATGGGGGAGAATGGCTGTTAGGGTCATCCAGCATTCTCTGCCAAAGCCTCCTATGATTCCACATTCCTTCTAGATCTCTCCCAGTTCTGTGTTCCCTGTTGGATAAGCTGTCCAAACACGACAGCTCTACCATGGTCTGGCAGCCACCCCACCACTCCAGGAACACTGCCCTTATCATGTGCACCAACAATTTTCATGTTGCCAGAATCAAAGGCTCTTTCCCTTTCTTCATTTTATCTGATCTGTAAGCAGCATCTAACACAGCTGACCACTCTTTTCTGGAAATACTGCTTTGTCAGTCTCTGGGATATAGCATTCTCTGGTTATCCTTTCGCTTCCCCAGCCTTCTGAAAAAGAAGTCTTTTTCAGTCTTCTTTCTTGCTCTGGCTCTTCGGACTCCTCTGGGTCTCTCTTGAACCCCAGCCTCTTCTGCATCTACCTCTTTGGCCTAAGTGACTCCCTCAGATCCCAAGGCACTTATCATCTTTAAAATGATGTCTCTCAAAGCCTGACCTCCAGCCCAGGCCTCTCTTCTGGGTGTGTAGTGACTGGACAATTGAACTGGATCTCTGATGGGCATCTCAAACTCAACATGAACACAGAATTCTTGACGTGCCTGCCTGACTTGTAGTCCCTTTCCTCCAGGTTACCCTATCCAATAAATGAGGCACTGTTCACCCACTTACTCCAGCCGGAAACTTGAAAGATATCTTTGGTTTCTCCATTGCCTCCCCCACATCCACCCTATTGATGTCCACGTTCAAAACAGCATCTTTCAACTACTGATCTTAGTGTGACCATCTGTTTGGTCCAAACCACCATTAGTTTGGGCCAGGGCTGCCATAAGAGTCTAATTGTCTCCTTGCTTTCATTTTTGCCTGTCACTTACCCAATTTATTCTTCACACAGTAAAAGATCAGAATACATTAGCCTTCTGCATAAAACCCTTCAATGGTTTAATAACAGGTTTCCAACCTAGACCAGTCTTACATGTCTTGGTCTCCACCCACCTCCCCATATCATCCTGGTTCTCTTTCCCAGGCTCCAATTTTGGCCATACTGTTTGTTTTTTTTTCTCCCTAGCTCTTGACACATTCACAGCTTACCTTTCTCGGGACCTTGGTGCAAGCTGTTCTTGATTTGGAATGTCTCTGCCTTGCTTTTCCCAATGCTATCTCCTCATTCTCTTGACTTCAATTCCAACGTCAACTCCTCAAAGACATTTTTCCTGCTGGCTCCACCTAAAGAATGAATGGCTCCTGTTTTCTAACCCAGTCCCTTGTTCTTTTCCCAGCATTTACTTCAACTTGCAATTATGTCTCCACCACCAAAAATCAGCTTTATGGAGTAAAAGGCTTCAGCTGTCTTATTTACAGCTGTATCCTTAGCATCAAATTAGGGCCCGGCACTCAAACACCCACTATCTGCTCTAGATGAACGGATAGGCAGTTCTCCAAGGAGGTCTCTGAGCTGTCTGGGTGTCAGAGGCTGGCTGCATCCCCCTTAATAAGAAAAAACTGGGAATGGACCCAACAGTTCCTTAACAAAATCTCCTCCTTACATTGCACTTAACCTGTTGGTTGCTTTTACTATAATGTGGTGCAACCAGTCTCTTGGCCCAGTTATAATAGATTCGAACTTCCTGCTGTCCAGCAGAACAAATCACCTAGTCCTTCCCCACTGAATGAGTTCTAGGCTCAGTGGCGGTGCCTGGGTCTCATTTTTCAGACAGGTGCGTTGAGACCCCAGAGGTCAGCCTTTTTAACACTAGAGCCCAGTCGGCGTTATGAATCCCTATCTACCACAGGCTGTACCTCTAGTCCCCCCTTCCCCCTCAAGAACCCTCTCAGCCATCTTCTCAGGATGAAGGTGAGGAACAAATCTCGGCAGGTTGTCCAAAGAAAGCCCAGTATTTTTAGCACCAAGGCTACCAGGAGCCAGTCTTTACCTGCCGGTGGGTGTGTGAAGAAATAAACGTTAATTTACTACTCTAGGTTGGAATCCTACCCCCACTCCCAGCCTCTGAGGCCTGGCAGGAACGCCTTTCAGTATTTTTAATTCAGCCATTTTTTTATAACCCTGACTCACCTCTCTACCGGTCACCCTCGTCGTACCCCCCGCCCCCCGCGAGACGTGGCCCCCACAACTCGCCCTTCTCAAGCCTGGGTTCCGGTCCGGTCAGTGACAACGCCGACGTGGCGTCCGCATATTGCGGAGGCCCCAAACGTGGGGTGCGGGTCCCCACTAGGCCTGAGCCACGAACCCAACCAGCGAGCGCCGACCAGGGCCGCCTTCGCCTCCCGCCCCGCCCAGAGCGATTCGAAGGGGCCCCGGGCCCCGCGGACTCAGCCCAGGCGCGGACTGGAAGGCCGGGCGGGGCGGGGCTATCGGCGGGGGCGGGGCGCGGAGGGCGGTGCCGCGCAGGGCGGCCCAGGGAAGCGGCGCCCCTTTCTCAGCAGCCACCCGGCGCCGCGCCCCCGGCCCCGCCCTCCGCGCCCCGCCCCCGCGCTCGGACGGCCTGAGTCGCGCCCTACCGCCCCGCGCCGCCGAACTTGCTCTAACTTCCTTGGCCGAGCCCGGCCGCGTCGCTGCTGTCGCCGCTGCCGCCGCCGCCACCGCGCCCGGGTGAGTAGAGCGCCGAGCCCCCGCTGGAGCGTCGGGCCCTGCCCCCCTCATTGTCTGAAGCCGATCCCCCCCCTGCTCCCCCCAGCGCCCTCTGGGGACAAGGACTGATCCCCTGGTCCAGGGTCGGTCCCTCCAGCGCCCTCGCTCCTGCCCCGGGGCGGCCCGGCGGCCAGCGCTGGCTTTGTCTGCTCAGATCGCCCGCGAGGGGCTGAGGCCTTGGTCCGGACCCCGCTGAACCGAACTCGGGCGCCGAGCGGAGTGAGAGCCGCAGCGGTCGACCCGGCTGGCTCTCGGGGTTCTGTCGCCCTCGCCCTGTCCGCGTTGCAGGACGGGTGCCTGCTGGGGCCGGGCGTGGTGGGAGCACTCGGGGAGGGAGGGATCAGATCGCCGTGGTCCTGGGTTCTGCTCCCCTCCCCAGCCGCGAGCCTTGGGATAGGCACTCCTTTCGGTTCCGCCACGGACCCTCGGCCGCCCCGAGCTCGGGCTAGAGGGTGGAGGGTGGCGCCGACCGGGGAGGGCGGTCCCCTCCCCTGCCCCGCCGCAAGTGTGCCCCCAGTCGCCCACCCTGGCCCTAAGTCCCATTCTGCCCTTCACGGATTTGGGGCCGCCGGAGTTTGAGTAGGTGGTGATCTGCTTCTCCGTGTTGGGCGTTTGGGGTTGTGCTTGGGAGCAAACCCAACTCCTGATATAACTGGAACTTCGGTCGAGTTGGGTCTGTGACTGTGAAGTTCGTTCGTCCCGGGCCGCTGCTCCTGCCGGTAGGAGTGGTGGTATTGGTAGGTAGGGTGTGTGCCTGTATTTGTGTAGGGACTTGTGCATCAGGACCGCTGGGACACGAATCCGGGGGAACACGAAGTTGGTCTCTCGCTGGAAGCAGTCAGTGCTGTTGGGAGTCTTGGGGAAGCGACTGGCCCCAGTGCTGGCCTGGCAGCTGGATCCCGCAGCAGTGTACCACTTCCCAGGCTGTCCCTGGTGGTGGGGTCTAGGGGCATCAAGTCAACCTGGGCCCTGAGTGCAGGGCATTGCACTGGAGCCTGTGCAGGTGTGCTCTCTGAACCACAGTCAGCTCCATAGGATTCCTCCCCTCTTCTGAGATGAGGGTTGCCCTCCTGTTGATAAAAGTGGGTGGAGCTGCTTGCCAAATCCTTCAGGGTAAGCTTTACCCTTCCCCTTGACCTCAAGGTACAGGAAGTTAGTGCCTGCAGAGTGCTTGGGTCACCCTGCCCTGTTGGTGAAGCGAAAGCTGGCGCCTTGGTCATTAGAGCACCCCAGCAACCCTACATCACCTCTATCGTTCAGTAAGCCCTGTGGAAGGCCGAGTGCCCTTGTTTCCAGGGATCCTCCGAGCACCCTCAGAATGAAACACATACTCCTCTGTGATGGCCCCACATGTCCTTCCTGCTCCTCTCTCTGCTATCTCCAAGCTTTGTCCTATCTTGAGGATCCATGATGTCTGGGGGTCAGGCCTTGGAAGCCCAGGCTACTAGGTGGATTTCCCCTCCTGTCTTCCTGCGTCCTCACATCTCTGAACTCTACTGTTTGAACCACTAAAGATGGTCTTCAGTTCATTCAACAAAGTGTGGTTGAGAATCTGTGGGGTGCCAGGCATTGTTGCAAGCACTGTTCTAGGCTCACAGCTCCCTGATTGGCTGTCAGTTCTATGCGGTCTTAGAACCTAGGCTGGACATGTAGTAGATGCTCTGTAGTGTTTATTAATCTGAACTCAACCTCAGCTTAGCAGCACTGTTCAGGCACCCGAGTTCAAGCCCACTGGTGCGTCCTGAGGTTTGTAGCTGCCTGTAGCAAGAAAGGGCAGGGAAATGAAGGAACCACAGAAGGGTTGACTCCTTAGGAAAGTTCCATCCTTTACCAGCTGGGTAGCTGTGCAAATCTCTGAGGACGGGTGAGGGTGCCTCCCATCCCTCCCATCCCACATTTGGGAGTGGTAGGACAGAACACATTCTCCATGGGGGAGGGGAGGGAGCTCTGCCCTGTAGGTCCTGGTGGTAGTGAAGTTTCCATAGAGGCCTGGAAACTGGGAGTTCTGGATGCTCTGGGTTATGGAAGCATTTCCTGAGGCCTCACGCTAGGTTACCTTGTGCTCAGGGATTTGACTTCAACTTTTACTGAGACAAAATTCAGCTTGGCAATGCTTACAAAATGCCATTGTGCCAGTCCTGGGAAACCTTTGCCGGATTTAAAAACCGGAGGGGTTACGAACAAGCTTATAGCAATTACATGGAATGTTTAAATGTGTAGTAATCATGTTTATTAAGACTTAGTGTTCATTGAGACATATCACATACTATCCAAAAAGCTTTATTTGTATTCATTCATTTAATCCTTGAAACAACACAGTACAGTGGGTAATGTTAATGTCCCACTTTACAGATGGCGAAACCGTGGCCCAGATTGGTCACCCAGTGAGTAACTTGCTTAAGGTCTGAATGTGAACTGGGTTTTCTCATATCTAATTAGATAAATTAGATAAAGCATCCTCTCAGAAGTGATTCAAGTTGATTGGTACACTGAAGAAAGCCTGGCCCACAGAAGAGCTAGTAAATTCTCCAGTGCAGGTTCCCTTATATTCTCTGCTTCTGAAGGCATCTCATCTGTCTGGGCACAAAGCAGGTGTCTCTGAACCCCTGCTGGTTGACTGGCAATGCAGCTTTTATCTCCCTAAGGCCAGGGAATGGGAAGACCAGTGCTACCATGCACAGAAGATTGGGGAGTGAGTCATTGCCTGTAGCTGTCTAGATAGATCAGGGTTTGCCGTGGTAACAATCCTCAAATCTCAGAGGCCTAAAGCAATGAAGAATTATTTCTTACTCACACCACAACCATCGCATATCTGCTTTATGTTGTTCTCACCATGGGACCCATGCTGATTAATTGGAATGTTCCTGGTCATTTGGACCTGGAGACAAGGAGCATGGTGAATCTCACCCTGGCTCTTAAAGCTTCCACCTAGAAGTGGCATTTCAGTAGCCAAAGCAGTTATATATGGCCATACTTCCCTGCAGGGTGGGGAGCAAAAGAGGACTGGAAACATTTGGGGAACAGCACTGATGTCTGCCACCTGCCCAACCCTGTGCTGTCTCTGTAACTTATTTCCAAGGTCTAGATTTGAGTGTCATATGCTTCTGTCACCAGGAACATCAATCATGAATTAGTCAAAGAAATGTCATTTAGGTTAGAGATGAGTTGAGGTGTCACACTTGAAGGGCAGAGGTATGGTGAACAAAAATGTTTATTAGCATAGTAAGAGGTGGTCTGCAGAAGCAACTTGTTCCTCTGACCCTGGACAAGTTATTTTGAGTTCCTTGGGTTCTTCTTTTGCTTATTCATTTATTCAGTCATCAGTTTGTGAGCCCGAGGACTGGTGCAGAGACCCTAGCCAGGGATTCTCAATAAGCACTTGTTTAGCTCCTTGCCTGGCACTCGGGGCTGTAAACTGGGTTCCAGGATCCCTGTTTCCTGCTGCTGGGTCCTGTAGCCTTTAAGGAGGGATGGTATTACCTATAGGACGGGAAGCAGGCTCCTGCTCCCTGTCTCTGCCCTGACACATCAATCCTTGTATTTCTTGTCTTCCTCATATTCTGTATGTGGCAAGTAGGGGCAGCCAATTATCTTGGAAGCAGGAGCAGGCAGAAATACCCCCATAGGCCTTGCCCTTCCCCTTCCACTGATGAGATTCCGAGGCTGAGCTTGGAGGCCTCGGGGTATGGCAAGGTAAACTGGTGATGTTACCTAAAGGATGGAGTCACATGGAGATCAGGCTTGGATGCGGGGTTGGGGTGGTTCTCTGGCCTGTGAAGTGGGTGGAACCCCTTTGTTAATTGCATTTTCCCACCTGGGCCACCCTTGCAGGGTGTCCAAGAGCCGGCTACACTTTGGACCCTGCTTTTGTGCTTTGTTGCCTGCTGTGTCCCTGGTGACTTCCAGCCAAGCCAGGAAACACTGGTGGAGGTGGTGAGACCTCAGGTTCTTCTGCTTGTGGTTAACTATCTTTAGGCATGTTTCCTCCTTTTTCAGGGCTTCTGTTTTCCTATCAGGAATACAGGGAGAGGTAATGGTGGTCTACAGCAATGGTCTCGTTTTTGGCTGGTCATCAGAGTGCCCAGGGGACTACATACACCAGTTTTTTTGAAAGTCTTTGGGCTAAGTCAATGCCAGCATTCCTGGTTTGTCTTATCTTCATTATAGCAATCTTCATTATAGTAATTCATAATGTGTCAACATCTGTTTTCTCCTTTAACAGCATGTTTTTTTGGTTTAGACAGGAAAGTGGTATGTTGGACTAGCAAAGGGTCTGACCTGGCCAGTGGGCAACAGTCAGTGCCTTTGCTGGTTAAATGTACCAGTGAAGAATGTTGTCCATCACATAGAGTGGACAGTGACGAGGCCAGCTTTCGAGTTGTACCTACTTTGTAGCTGAGTGACCTCGACAAGCCTTT